GGCCCCGGTACTTCTTCCCCTGTGTACCGGGTATTTCACATTTACTGTTCATCCCATCTTTCTATGGAACTTTACAGGCACGCCGTTATTCTACCTGGAGGATCTCGGACAAATCACCGTGGGACCGAGCATCTTGGCAGATGCTTCGCGTCCCACGATAATCCAGCCTCGTGTAAATGGATTGCTCGGCTCACGGGTAGATACAATGCTCGGGTAATCCCGGTCATTGTATACACCCGATGGTGTATACAATTGCGGGTATTCCCGAGGATCGTATACACGCGAGTTGTGTTTCAAACTCGGCGGTGAGTTCGCGTAACGAAATGTAATGAGTTGCATACGCGCGGAGATTAAATGATGAGGATACAACTTTGCGGAAACGGCGGCCGCGGAAAAGGAAATGAGAAGTAGGAATTGAGAAAAGAAGAATTTACTGAGCTAGGGCATGAATGTGAAGCGGGAGTAATGCCGGCACCATGCGGTGGTTACGCCGGTAATTGTGAGGCTAACGATAGACAGCTTTCTCAACTAATGCCTTGATTGCGAGAAAGTATGAGACGCTCACGGCTTAATGACATTAGCGGATCTGCTTGGAAGGGGTGGAGTTAGAATAGAGACGGAGTGCTTCGTAATAGGCTTCCTGGACAGCGTTGACTGCGCGCTCTATCCCTTTGATGGTGCCGTTGGTTACGAGGTCAGTATCGGGGTACTTACCAGGGAGTTGAGTTATGAGCTTGGCGTATTTTTGGAGGTCGTCTAAGGCGAGCTTCTTGAGGGCCTTGCGTTCTTCTCGCGCGTTCGACTGGTTAGAGGAGGAGGCTATGGGGGGCGTAAGGCCATGGGACGGTGGGTCCTGTGAGGCAATGCTGCGTGGGTTGGGAGGCAGAGCCGTGGCGGTGGTTTCGATAAGGCTGTGGTGGGAGTTGTGCCGACAAAGGTTAACGAAACGCTGGTTAGTGGGCATAAGGAAGGACTCACCCAGTGGGACAGTTCCGTGAAGTTAGGAAAGCGGGGCCAGAACCGATGGGTTGTGGTAGCTGTTCGGTCTGTGGATGGTTGTTGTGAGAGGGCCCTTCATGTGGCATCTCGTCGAAAAAGGCGGAGAGTTGGGAGGCGTGGACCGGTGTAGGGGAGTGGTAGAGGCTGGGAGCACGGGGAGTGCTACATAGATGTCCGGGTTGTTGTTCGGCGAGCCGGAAAAGTCGCGCGTCGAGCAAGCCTGGGGCCGGTGCCTCGAACTGGAACTGTGTGGGAGGTGGGGGATGGGGAAAGTCCGTTGGCAAAGAGTAATTGCTTGGAGCCGGAGTTGACGCATTGTTTGGTGTAGCGTGAGGTGAGTTGCTTGCAGTTTGGACAGCAGAGAAATTGCCGGGTGGGAACAAGTGCGAAGGGGTGTCGAGTAAGTGGTTGCCGCTGTTCTCGAAAAACGTTCGCGAGTGTGTAGTGTACTGAGTCGAGGTCGCCGAGCTTTGGCGTTCGTGCCTTGATTTGTGGAGATCGGGGGCAAAGTGATCCGTTTCGATCATGGCCGGCGGTTGTCCTTTGTGAGGAGTAGGTAAAGGATATGGAGGTGGGATAGGACCACGGAGATATCCTAATGGTGGCGTAGAATGAGCGGCGTTGGGGTCATAGAACAGATGCATCACGTAGGAGTCTGACTCCCGACGGTGATGTTGGGGTACGGTGTGTTGGGACAAATGCCGGTCAGAGAGCGTTTCGCCGCCGTGTGGTGTGATGCCGCCCGTGAGAGCATTGGATGTGGGCTGGTTGTATAAGGGTGAGGCTCGTGGTTGTTGTGGAAGTACAGCGTGAGGGGTCATAAGGACATTGGTAGAGGTTGTAGGAACCAGGCCAGGGGCGGAGCGATGAGGATTCATTGCAGGGGTGGGTGACGATGAGGATGTTTGGGACAATGAGGTGGAGGAAGTGGTAGTGGACGATGTTGCAGAGTCTTCGCTCTCGATGTGGACGACGCTTTCGATAGGGGTAGTGATCTTCTGAGGAGCAAAGGGTGATACACCGTTGTCGACTATAGCGAGGGCTGTCTTGCAGATGTTGTATTTCTTCTGCCGCGCAAGCACGTACATATGTTTACATGTGGATTTATGTTGGCTGAAGTATGGGCACGTGCAGTTGTTAATGGCGGTTTTGCGAGGGGCTTGGGCGGGGGTGACTGTTAAGTCATAGGTGACCGTGCGAGGTCGAGTAAAACTGCCCATGGTGAACTGAGAGAAAGGATCAGTTTGGTTCGACGCGAGGAGGAATGAAGGGCTTACATGGTTGGGCGAATTTTCGTCGACGAGGACGCCTAAGTCAGCGAGTTCGTCATCGGTGTAAGTCTCGGCGACGCCCTTTGCGACGTTCTGGAACTTAGATGTCCGTTGCTGACGGAAACCAAGTGTGGTAGTGATCTGCAGAGACCGATATTCCGCTTCGATGTCTTCCACGAATATGTGGATGAGGCCATCGATACGAGCGACGGTGGTGCGGCTGAGGAAATGGAATTTCAAGACGCGGTGGTGTGATTCATTGTAGTTATTAGTATGAATGCCTTGCAT